ACTATACATTAAAAAAGTCACAAAAAAAGGTAGTCAAATTTGTATGACGGATCAATGTTTAGACAGCAAGGCACTTTGTGGTCTTTATAGGCTCATACAGGGTTGTTGTAGAGGGCAGTTTATCCAATAACATAAATCAGCACCATGGTGCTTCAAGTATTACCTGAATAGCAAGTAGATCTACTGACAATACAATTTAGAGAATTTCGCTAAGCATTATTGGACCCCTTTGAAATTAGCACCAGCAGAATCCACCTGCAACACTCTCTCCTACCATCTTCCCTCTCCATTGTCATAAAGAAAAATGTTTGTCCTAAATTAATGTTCCTGTTTATGGAGGACCCTTAAGATAATGAACACCTGAACAGCCCACAACTGCCCCATCCATGGGCACCTTTAGTTCACTGATGTTGCGTAATCAACACAGTTGTGGCAGATTGTGCTAAAAAAAGTAGTGAAGTTAAACTAAATAGGAGGCAGGGCTGTGAGATACCCAGCTTCTACTGCATGAGAATGGATGTTTAGGATTTAATGAGTAACCAGTAGTCATGGGCTCATTGACAATTGACAGCTGGAGAATATTTTGCAAAGTGTGACTTGAAATGACATGAGTTGGTACAAGGAGACTAAAAGTATTGTTCCTGCTGAGACTCCTGGGAAAACTAGATGACTTAGAGGAGATGTGAACTGATTCCTGGCTGCACATCGTCTGCCCTCTCAGCCTTGTGTGGATTACAGAAGAAGAAAATAATCTATTTATAGCAAACAAATATAGAATGGAAATATCAGAATTAAAATAAATTCAAGAACAGAGGAACAAATCAACTCACACTGGTTATCAGTGAAAGAACCTGAAGAGCACACACTGGATATCAAATTATTGGCCTGGTAGGTACATGTTTTAAATGTCCATAGCCACCAGTGCCAGTGTCAAACCATTACTCTTGTTTCCTGTATAATGAGAATTTCACATTGGGACATACAAGTTTAGACTTTTACAGCTGAGAACAGGCACATACTTTGTGAAAGGAAATAGTTAACTCTGTACGTTATTTGTATGGGTTGTAATACCTGTAGGTTTGAAGTGTTCCCTTTTAGCTGATTTGAAGCCAAGCCATATTATGTGGGTTTTCATGTCTATGGGCACCTCTACAGTGACCCTCTACTCAGACCCTATACTTGAACAAATGCTGCAACAGCCACTCTCCAATGCATGTCTCATGTCCAGAATCCCAGCCTAATGCCAAGGCCCTGTCAATACACAAACATGCATGCTCACCCAATACAAGAATGCATATTTATATCTTTCCAAGGAATTATTTGGTGGTTGAAACCTTTGATTGTCATGTAATGTTACGTGTATGGCCAGCTGGAAGCATGTCAACACTGTTCCCTAACAGCTACAACTGTTAGATCTGCCCTTATACACTGCCTGGCCCCCCAAAACAGTCACCACCTGGATTTAGCTAAGCAAATAGGTAAGAGCCTTCCATTGGATAAGTGTTTTATTCTGGGGTTGCTTCACTTGGTCAGGTCTAAAAATGACATCAGCTGCTTATCTGAATATCAATCAAATGATCGAGCGCAGAAGCCCCTGTAGATAATTGCCTATCTGAATATACTGAATTATCAGGTTTTTCCATCAATGGAATTTGTCATCCTTGATGGCACATTGGGCATATTCCAAGACAATGCCAGGATTCATCGGGCTCAGATTGTGAAAGAGTGGTTCAGGGAGTATGAGACGTTATTTTCTCTTATTATTTTCTCTCATGGATTGGCCATCGCAGAGTCCAGACCTTAACCACATTGAGAATCTTTGGGATGTCCTGGAGAAGACTTTAGGAAGGAAGTACATACACCCTGCAGCCTCTATATAACATGTTTCACCCCTAATGTTGCCTAATCATAAAGCAAGAGGTCATGGAGGGAGAAGTAAATATGTATACACACATTTGTGAATATGGAGGAGAACCTCTGTCTAGCTGAGAGCCTTAAGGGGAAGAATTCATTTTAACGCTAATGGAAAATTTATGGTGGATGTTCTATGAATATTTTTCTTGTTTTTTTTCTGTTGTTGTTGATTTTGGCTGGGTCTCTTCCCGTGAGAGTGTCTTAACATGATGTTTATATTGTTATATCCAGAAATAATAAAGAAATATTATACAAAAGAAATGGAGGAGAAATAAACAGCAAATTGCTCTACCACCTTCTACTTAAAGGAGAACTATGAAGTGAGTGAAAATCACTCAGCCTCATAGTTCGAGCCGACCTGTGACAATGAGGCTGTCACACGTCGGCTCAATAGATCGGGAAGTAAGCGAACGCATACTGTCACTTGCTCACTTCTTGATCATCTACCTGCAGAGAGCCGTGACCACCAGTCATCACCCCCCGCAGGGATTCCCCCCTCCCCGCTTCGATCCTCCAGCGCTCAGTGGAGGAATGGATGGAGGAGGGGGCGGGTAACTGGCTCTGCTTCTAGATAGCCAGAGCCAGCTGTCACTCACGCAGCTGGGTGGATCTCGACAGTAATGTCGGGATCCGTCCCGGCTGCGGCGATCTCAGTATACTGCAAGCTTTAGCTCGCTATATACTGAGCTTTGGGTCATGAGAGGTCTCTAGTTTATGTCCTCCAAATTATTAGTTAATACATACTAAAACCACATCATGATCTCAATTACGACATAAAAAATATCCTAGGAGAATTCAGCAGTATTGATCTATCATGCTATATAGTTCATAATTTATCATACATCATTTATTCATTTATAATCTACAATAGCTGATGCTTTCCTGAGGGAGAAAGGATGGG